CCCCCCTCTCTTTCTCCCCCACCTTCTATCTATCTATCTACAAAAGGCTAAGAAGCCAGACCAGAATTCTCCTCTTGTCTTTCATTCCTGCCCCCAAAAAAGCCTCACGCGCGCGCGTGCATGGAGCCTGCCTCCCACCCCCGTGTTATTAGCCACGATCATCTCACGCACTGACGCTCACACTTAAGTGCTGAAACACCTCCCCATCTTCCAACGGTCAACTCCCCCGTGCCTGGTTCCTGTCCGCACCCATCTCGATCCTCATTAGCCCAAACATCGGACCATTACCCCTCGTTCTTCGCTCACTCCCTCCCCCTTCTCCCCCCTCCCCCCATCCCGCCTTTCCGCGCTCCCTCGTCTGAAATGATCTTAGAATAAAAGGAATCGGCATCGTGGCTGTGGTCAGAGTTACACGTAGTCGAGTCCACTACAAGTATGCATCTGGTGTTGTGGTCATAGAATACTGTAGTTTGCTGTGGTTGTGGTGGTTAGACGCTCTGCCAGAGCACACAGAAGACTCAAGTTCGATTTCCATGTAGGGAAATTTTTTGTCGCGTATCTTTTATCAACAGATGTATGAGGAATGTCTTAAGAATTAAATGGCAGGGTAGAATAAATAATGAAGAACTGTGGAAAAAGGAGAGGACAAAAGGAATAAAAGTAGAAATAGGACTAAGAAAGTGGCGGTGGATGGGACATACCTTCAGAAAGCCCAGCGGAAAAATCACAAAACAGCTGCTGCAGTGGAACCCACAGGGAGCACGAAGAGGGGTTGGCCACGGGAAACATGGAGGAGATGCGTGGAAAGGGACATGAGAGAGATAAAGCTCACTAGGATCAAGCAAGGAAGGATGGCCCAGGACAGAGATAAATGGAAGGAGCTTGTATGTGGTCTATACCCTGCCAGGGTTGAAAGGTATTGGACGATGATGATGATCTTTGTCCTTATGCAGGTTCGGATGTTGCACCCCCGTTCAGCTAGGGTTTTCTCTTTTATAGAACGTCGCAAGTGCTGACGACACACATCAAGGGACACTACAGGGCATAGTGTTCTAAATGCATGTATGACTTTAAATCAGACTTACGGCTTTTACAAATTACCCAAACTCGGTAATACAATATCATAGTTGAGCTCTTTTTTTTTGTGTGCATGTTTCGAAAGGTCATCAACGTGATCTACACTCTATATTTTTCGGACCCCTTCATTTGTGGCCAAACTTTATTGCAATAAGGTCTTCCTGCCAAGTTACGTCAAAGATAGTACAAGACAAGATGGGCCACTCAGCCTAAAAAGTATCCGCAGGAAGTATGCTCTTTGCTTCAGATGGCGCTGCAG